TTGTGGGTTCTTGTGCAGCCTAGAATGTGTCGGTGAGCCAAACAGCCAAGGCTGGGCACGGTGGAGGGTAGATGGTGACTTTTGCCACTTCTTGAAATTCTGCCATGGAGCCAAACATCAGTTCTGGTGTCCCACCTCCAGGGCAGGGTCTGGTCTGGTCTGCTGGCCCATCACCACCTTCACTGGGTGGTAGAGGTGGCTCTGGTCTCCCCTGTGGACTCAAGCAGGCACCGGGGTCTTGCAGTGGGAACAGGTCACGTCACGGGCTTCCTGGTCAAGCAAAAACCTTCAAAAGCTCTGCTGCTGTGTCAGCAACAGACCCAAAACCCACCAGGATCAGCCAGAGCAGCTGCCAGGGGAAGGGTCAGGCTGAGAAGAAGCCCTGATAGTACAATTCAGGCTGAGTCTGGGCTGCAATATCCCCACAACCATTTGTGGGCTGGGGAGGGCAGGGGTGGGGGCAAGGTGGCCAAGCTCCCCTCCAGGAAATGCTCCTGAAGCCCCAAGCGGGGCACAGGCACGAGTACACAGGTGTGGAGCAAAAAACCCAAATCTTTTTGAGACCAAAACTGCAAAAATGACCCTGAAGTGACTGCAGGAGGTAACAATATGTAGGGTGCAAAAAGAAACTGAGAGCAGTGATGTTAATGGTGTTAACAGAAAAAAAAAAACTGAAGAGTCTCTAAGGAGGAAGCTCCAGCCGCCCTCACCAGCACCTTTTCCTGTGTGATGTCAGGGAAGATGCCACAAGAGCAACAACCGTTTACCAGCAAAGCATTTTGAAGCTGCCACAGCCCAGCTCACACGGACACGCCACGCTCGGCCCTGAAACCTGCTTCAGGTTTGGGATTTCTGCCACTGGCTTGTGGCTACAGAGTGTCAGCCAAAGGAAAAACGTATCTGGGTGGAGAGACCCCAAACCAGGCCAAACGGAGCTCTGCTGCCACCGGCATCCTGGCACACTCTCGTTTCCCTGGGTTTCACCCATCGGGCAGCGCTGGCATTCAGGCTGGGTTAAACTAGTGCAAACTCAGCAACGGTTTTGGAGAATTTAAAAGAAAGGTGAGGACTGGTCAGGTGCCTTGAGAGTGATGCTGAGGGAGTCAGATGCCGTTTAACTCTCGGTGCCACAGAAGCTGTGGCCAGATGGGTGCTGCCAGGTGCCGGTGTGCCCGGCTGCGCCGGTGAGGGCAGCTCTCGGATGCGGGGGCACGTGGTGCTCGGTGCAGCCACAGCACCCCATGGCTGTGGCTTCCACCGGTGTCCTTCCTGTGAACTCGACTTGTCCCAGGGCAGGAAGGGGCTGCATTTTGACAGGTGCTGCTCCCACGGGCGCAGCGATGGGGCCTCGCTGGCACCCCCAAACATCCGCCCCACCGGCCAGCCTCGGTGAAACCCACTGGCACGCTCAGCAGCAGGGACCAGAGGACTCATGATGTGCCCAAACCCTCCTCCTCCAGCTCTCCCCGTGGCTCCCCAGCACAGGACGACCAGCGGCCGCCGGCATCACCACA